CCCCCCCCGGGCCCACCAGAACCTCCCCCCCTTCCCACTGTGGTTGCTCAGAATAATGTCCCAAGCCTGTCCCCCCCCCTCCCCGGGCACTGTCCCCAGGGGAAGATTTATGAGCAGAGGAGACTTTCAACCCTTTAGTGCTGCTGCGGATCAGAAGACAAGTCGCGGCTCGTGTGTACATTTATTGGCGAAGGGACTGGAGGGGACCCAGCAGCAAAGGGAGCGGGATGGGGCTCTGCAAAGCCACCGGAGCCGCCTCCACACCCTGGCTGGTCATGAGGGGGACAGTCGGTGGCGTGGGGACAGCCAGCCGCTCACTTCAGGCAGCACACAACCCTCCGCTGCTGCACTATCCCCCTTCCCCCGGGAGCTCAGCCTCTCCATCCCCATTTTTAATGCAACAGCACCACGAAGAGCCCAGCGAAGAAATTACTCCGGTGCAGCCCGGCACGCCGTGTCCAGTGGCACCGCTCGGCTCCAAGCGTGCCACGCACACAGCGACAGGGCTGGGGACATCAGCTGGGCTGCAGGACACGGCAGTGCGGAGGGAAAGAAGACGGGGTGTGACAAGGACTGATGGGACCTTTGCAAATCTTCCAGCAAAGCAAAGGACCAGATTTTCCCCATGCGGGGACCAAATTTTCCCTGTGCACGGCTGCCGTCCCCAGCCAGGGACCGGGGGCGGCTGCCCCGCTCCGGCCGCTCACCGTCTTGCCCGCAAAGCTGACTTCCACAAAGGGATCGACCAGGTTCTTCTTGTTGCTGTCGAAGCCAAAGATCTGCCTGACGTTGTCCATGACGGCGTCATCCACTGCGAGGGGAAGGAGGTGCTGAAAGCTCATGGAAGTGCGCGGCGTCCGGATGGCCCCGGCTTTCCGGGCAGGCTGTCCCACCGGGCGGGCTGCGCATCTCCATTGAGCCAGGGGGGGAGGAGCAGGAGGGTAAAACCAGTTTGCACCAGTAAGAGACTTATCTCCCAGTACATTACGACTGCCCGACATCTGCAAAGTCTTTGGACCAAGGCTATGGATAAAGTTTCCTTATCCGCGCCCTTATTCCGCTCCGGCACGTTGTAACCCGCTGCGGTGCCAAGGGCCGGATCCGGCAAAGGAAACACTTACTCTGGGGTAAGTCTTCGGCTTTGAAGATTTTCAGGCAGAAGTGAGCCCCTCTCAGGGTGACCCCCGTGGGGCGCAGGAGGTTGCCCTCGATGTCTTCCTTGTCTTCAGAGACCTCCTTCTTCTCCACCTGCAGGACAACAGGACAAGAGGAAAACACGACCAAGCTTCCCAAAAGTCCTGAAATGAGCAGCAAAACCCCAAAATCCGGCACCTTGCCCCCAAAACGGAGGAAGAGCAAAGCCGCAGCTTCCCTGGGAACAGGCGCGGGGTTTGATGGCCCAGGGCGGTGGAGTACCACGCTTGGAAGGTGCCCCCCATCGCGGCCGGGAGCAATACTCACGGGAGCTTCATCTCCAGGCCCCAGCACGAACAGGCTGACTTTCAGATAGCCCTTGGCCCCCGCAGAGAAGTCCTCCGGGTCAGACAGCAGCAGCCATTTCCTGAGAAAAGCGTGTTCTAGGGGAGAGAAGAGACCGAGACCCACGTGCTGGTCCTCAGACACGCAGGGAGATGGGTTCAAGGATGCTGTTGGGTGTTTTTTTATAATAAATATTACATTCCTTTTGAACAGAACAGAATAGAATGGAATGGAATGGAATGGAATGGAATAGAATAGAATAGAATAGAATAGAATAGAATAGAATAGAATAGAATAGAATATTTCAGTTGGAAGGGACCTACAACGATCATCTCGTCCAGCTGCCTGACCACTTCAGGGCTGACCGAAAGTTAAAGCATGGAATTAAGGGATTTGCCTCATAGGTCTTAACCCTTTACAGCTAAAATTGGCAAGCTTTTCTCCGCAGTGATTAGGGTAGGAAATTTTTTATAAGCATTATTTTATCTTCCTCGAGATAGAACAAAAGATAAAAGATAAAATAATGAGCCAGACTCAAGACAAAAAAAAGTGAGCCGGGCTGCGCTGGTGGGGCTTTCTGCCGGCGAGCCGGCGGCAAAATGATTTGAAAGCCTTCAAGGACGTACGTCTTGGGAAAGGGAAGAGAAATGGGTGGTGATGACGGATATAGGGACACATCTGGGTTCATACATGGGAGAGCTGTAACGCGTGTGGGCGTTCCCCCTACTTTTGGCCCAAAAAAAGGGTTACCCAGAGCAACACACACCCCCCCAGCCACGGGAGGTGACCCTGGCCCGGACCCCGACCGCCCGCTGGGCTCACTTGGCTCGGAGTAAACGGTCTCGACGTCCATCTGTGCAACAGAAGGAAAAAGAAATGCCAGCATTCACCCCTTGCGTCAGCGTGGCGGAAAACAGGGGGGAAGAGGAGAGAGGGCAGCCTTACCCGAAACTCCCCGATCACCGAGTCCGTCCGGAAAGACCGAGAGTCCACAACCTGTCAAATGAAAATAAGGAAAAACAGTAAATCCAGCCCAAACCCTACCAGGGTGGAGGGCCCTCCCGGGAAATAGGGGAACGTTTCCCTGGGCCCCGCAGGGAGGGGGACGGGGCGACGGGCCCTGAGCATCGCCCCAGCCCTCCCGAGGAGCAGGGGTGACATTTGCTGAAGCTCACCGTGATGAAGATGGGCGCGTCGAACAACTCGGCCGGCGACTCGAAGACGTTGAAGAAGAAGGTCTGTAGGAAAGAGGGGCAGAGGGTGCAAGGCGGAGGAGGTCTGCCCCAGCCTCCCCCCCAGGGCACGTTCGCACCTCCCAGCCTCTCCCACGCCCCCAATTCCGCAGGCTGGAGCCTCTTCCCCTCCTGTTAGGCGAGACCTCACCCCGTTAATAGCGACAGCCTCCCCGAAGGGGCTGCGCTGGGTGACGTTGGTGCACTCTGGTGAGCAACGTCCTCCAGTTCGCTTTTGCCGGGCTGGTTTGCAAAAGCGCATCCAGACCAGCTCACCTGGGGGTCTCCAAGCAAAGGACCAGGGGCAGGTTGAAGCAGGCTTTGGGGACATCCCAAAAGGCAGGCTTGAAGCATCCGCTTTGGGGACAGGGCTGGGGACAGGTCGCCTGCGGCTGTCCGAGCGTACCCATCCTGCACGCCCGGCTGCATTGCCCACCCCTGCCCGAGTGCAGCTCTGCCCGGGACGTGCCACCAGGATGCTACTGGCAGCGCCTGGGGCCGCTGGACACCTC